AATCTGTGATAGTCTGTCTTTTGAAAACATATCTCTGATTTCACCCATGGCTGACCGGATTTAATTTACATGGGCAATTTTATGTTTCGTATTTCTCAATTCCTGAGAGCCTCTCTCCCCACCCTCCTCCATCCTTCAGGGCAGCACTCAGAGTCACAAACCAAAGTTTCCTCTGGGTCTGTAGAGTGATTGAGAAAATTCACACACTCTTGGAAAAATAGTCACGTGTGGTTAACGTTGTATAAGAAGGGCACACTGCTGTAAAACTTTTAAATGGATTTTAAGTATACCAGTGTATTTAGAGAAGACTGGTCAGGATGGCAGTGGAACTTGATGTCTTGTCCTTTGAAGCATGGTTGAGGGATCTTCATTCACTGGTGAATGAAGACTAGGGAACCCAATTTCCTGCATGGCTCCAAGGTGGGCAAATAGGATCGGAGGGTAGATGCTCAGGGGACAGAATTCAGACTGTGAGGGCCAAGTGGCAGTTTCTAGTCAGTATCTATCCAGGTATGGCCCAGCTTACCGCCTGGTCACAGCAGAGAGTGGATACAAGCATCAGGTGGGTGACTGGATCAAAATTTAGATACCTCCTAGCCCTGAGGGTATCCTTGGGAGGTTAGGCGTCTCTGCCAGCTTGCCCTTGAAGGAATCAGAGTATGTTTATGTGCTATTTTTAGTAGACCCTATACCTCTGGACCAGCATACTTAGGATGTGTTCTTTTCTTTCCAGCTTACCGTGACAATCAGAACTTTGTTGCAGAATCTGAAGGAAAAGATCGCCCTTTTGAAGGACTTATTGCTAAGAGCTGTGTCAACACATCAGATGTATCCATGTAAACATTTCCACCTCTTTTTTAGAGTGGGAGGAAAAGCAGTCTTATTTGAAGAAAGGAAGGAATCTGGGCCACCCAGATTTTTCCACAGCTTGAGGAAGACCTGGTTTCTAAAATATTGCCTATAATCTCGATTTCTATTTTAAGTGTCTGTTACATGGTTTACAGTGAATATGCTGGCGAAGCAAGACGTACTGAAGGCATCAGCTTATTTGGGTATTTATTTGGGTGTAACCTTTACCGTGTAGGAAGCGAGTGCTTTCTGCCAGTGCTGTGTCTGCTCTGAGCCCTGCGCTGCCCCCGGTCTAGACTTGTCCTGAAGGTGGTGAACCACTGCTCCCACAGGGGACCGTCCCTGACAGTCCCGAGCTGCGATTATGTTGCAGCGTCCAGACTTTTGAGTGATCCATTCTCTTTTCTGAGAGGCCAGTACCGGTAGAAATCATACATCGTCGGGGATTTATCCCTGTTTATGTAGATTATTGAGATGGGCCAAGTTTGCCTTCATAGGCTTCGAGAAGCACAGAGGCCGCCCTTGGCTTGGGAGTTTTTGGGTGGGGGAGGGGTGGGCAGGAAGCACTTGCCTCCCACCAACACTGTCAAGTACTGAAACCTTTTTTTTTTTTTTAGAAGTTCATAATCTGATCAATTTAGGAAAATACATGTGACCTGTTACCTAAACCAGCCCTTTAAACGTGAGTTTATATTGGTTTGAAAACTGGCCTCAAACTGCTCCTCTCTCGTTTCTTCAAATTATCAGTTCATACCAAAAAGCCAGATTTGAGTATCTCAAGAAATGGCTATTACTGCCTGATTTTAAATGGGAAAATGTAGGAATATAGCTTTTTGACAAAATAATAGAAAATGTTTTAACAGTTATTTTCTCCCAAGTGTAACCCCTTATGCTACCAGGGAGGTTTGCTTAGATTAATGGCATGAGTTTCCAAATATTCAATTACTAACACACTAATGTTTCAAGTAAAAGTTTAATTTCGATAAACAATGGGGGCCTTATTTTTAGCACAACTGGAATATTCTGATACATTTAGTTTGTAACTTTGCCCTCCATCTGTTATCATTTATTACTGCACATCTTTTATATACACATGTGCGGCGGGATCCCAGAACTCTGAGATCGTGACCTGAGCCGAAGGCAGATGCTTAACTGAGTGAGCCACCCAGCGGCCCCTGCACATCTATTATAAAGAGGGTTTTTATTTTATCAAAATCAACAAGTCGTAATATGTAGACCTTAGATGGTTTCTGATTGGCCCGGCTACTGTCTGCACGTAAGGTCCAGCTACGCATGCTCATTTTCTTGTTACCTAAAGCACACATGTTAGGAAGGTAACTAAATAGTCCTTTCACGATATAATATTAACAACTGTGTATTTGCTAACTTCCATTAAGGTAACTGATTATTATGCATCTTATAATATTTATGTGCTAAACTAGAGGGCAAAAAAGAAACAAATTAAGAACTCTTACTTTTTTCTATTGGTAACTTCTGCTCTTTATTAGTTATAGAGAAGCATGTGGCGGTAATAATTGACTCGACTTTGTTCTGAATGCTTTCAGCCTGACCGTCTTTTGAAATCTCGTAGACTTTGGTTTTGTGGTCATCTCAGAATTTGCTGAACGAAGCATGAAGAATATATAAAAATACTTTAAAATATTGAACAGAATTATTAAACACATTATGAAAATATTTAAGGACATTACTGTGGATAATTTAGAATGTTGTAGGATAAAGCAGAAACTCAGCTGGACTGTAACAGCGTTCCTTAAAATCTTGAGTATTTTTTCAAAACAATGGGGTCTCTTTCTGCTGGAAGCGGGACCTGTACTAAGGACGGAATTCCGGTCACCCACCCCAAGGGGGCGCTCAAGACCTCTGTGTTTTCAGGGAGACCACTTCTTTTGATAGAATGGAAAGGCGGTAGCTTCTCTAATATGAAGGCCTCTTTTTAATTCTTTCTGTTCCCCACATCTTCCCGTCCCTTGACCTATTCCAAATAACTCGATGGCAGTCCTCCTCCGGATTTAAGCCATATGGGATAGCTACTTCTGTTGGTGGTTCCTTGTTTTCTTTACAAAAAAGGTACTGAGGCTAGGTCAGCCTTTGCAGCCCAAGTCACGGGCGGAGCTGGAAAAGGAATCCAGCATCCCAGCAGAGGAGTGTTTTACCCCGAGGAGAGGAATCTGAGGGCTGAAGTAACTTGCCCCAGACCCCACAGCTGGGAAATGGAAGAGCTTGGACGCAGAGTCAGGGGTGTCTGGCCCCCAAGCCAGTTGTTTAAAAGCCGAATTCTACTTTAGTAGAAATAATACAGTCATCTGTCACCTGGCTTGTCTTCAACTAGAATTCCCTAATAATTGGCACGTTGCTCTCATGCCAAGACAAATCCTGTTTATAATGCAAATCCTCAAGACCCTCCTTAATCATCAGAAAGATTAAACACTGTTCACTGTGGTTTATTAGGTATACTTTATGATGTTGTAATTCTTAGAAAAATTTTTGTCCGTAAATCGCCAACAGAGTGACTGCTTAATCCTTTTTTTTTTTTTTTTTGGAGGCATAATTAATGTTGGATGACTTTTTTAACGTGAATATTTGAATACCACATTTCCTTACTGTGTTGGGTAGTTGAGAGTTTACAGCACTTTACCTAGTAAATTTATGCATTTGTGCAGTTTTCCAAAGAACACTAGGGATTGCCAGAAAGATAAGTCCTCGGAAAATGCCTTCCAAACAATTAAACTCATGGAGTGAAGGCATAAGATGTTATTGCTCTTTCTTGGAAAAAGTATTTTCTCCTGGCAAGAATTAATGTGAAGTTAAAATGAAAGTTCCGTGCTTTTGAATTGGTTAGTTTGCAATTCATAAGCCAAAGTCCTGCAGCCAGAGAGTTTAAAATTGCTGAAAAACATTAATTTCTATTCACTGTGTTTCTTGGAGACAGGAATTGTTCATTGCTCCACTGGTTGAGAAAAGTCATGTGCCATGGGAGGGCTGCACGTAAAGTGTCAGGTAGTAGTAAAATTATTCTTAGAATTGGCCTAACCTGAAGCTTGTCTTTTTGTTGGGTTCTCAAAGATAGCACTTTTACTACTTTAAGGAGAATTAAAAAAAAAAAAATTTCTTTACAAAGGGGTTCAGTATGAAAAGGTATTTTAAAATAGGTGTCTTGGGAGAAGTCCTATAGAAATGATTTTTTAAAAACTATAAATGACTTTTCTCCCCTTTGTCTTTTGCGGGGGGAAAAGATAGGTTAGTAGACAGGTGGGTGGATAGACAGATGCAGCAATCAATGTAACCGAATGAATGCAGGCGTTGGCCGGCTAACCAGGTAGATTTTAGGGAGAGCCCCTGTGGAGTGGTTGGTTCTCAAGCACTGTGCTTGTACTTGGCACTTTTCACTGGTGCCTGGAATGGTGAGGAAAGTAAGGACAAGACAGTGTTGAG